TCAAAATCTAGTATCAGGACATCCTAGTAAGATCAGAATCCAGCCCTCCCTAACAGCTGTCTAACTTCTGTGTGGTCTTAGAATGCTTAGGAATTTGACATCCTCACCTACCTTCTCCTCCCTCCCTTCCTTTCCGCTCTCCTCCCAGACCTTTACTCCATACTTTATCTGCCCTCAAAGCCACATTGCACTTGCTTTCAGATAATGGAATTTGCAGAAGACTCAACTCAAACTATGTTAAGCCTAATTGCCAAAAGATGGAATAATCATATGGTGCTTGCCCAAGAGACAGAGTAGACTTTAAGAAGATCGATAGTAGGGTAAATGTCACTTTTTTATGTGCTGAAGATACAGGATTACTGTCAATAATCTATTAAAACTAAGTTTCTTAAACCCTTTCTAAAAATTGAGATAAAAATCACGTGGCACAGAAGACACCATTCTGTAGTGTTTAAGTTAGTAGTTCTTAGTATATTCAGTGTTGTGCAACCATCATCACGATCTGATTCTAGAACATTTCCATCACCTCAGAAAGAAACCGCTATTAGCAGTCAATCCCAATTCTCAATACTTTTTTCTTTAACTCACATGTCCGAACAGCCAAGAGTTTTGCTGAGTTGTTACTTACAGTTTGTATCATGAAAATAATACGATGGATTGTTTCATTCATTTTACCAATGCAAAATTGTTTTAATATTGTATATTCTCTTTCAAAATACAGATGCCTTCCGAATTCTAATGACCAACACCCACCCCATGGGCATCCTCTCTTAGCCTTCATTGAATATTGCTCTATTTGATTGGATGATACTTGTGATATATATATATATTGTGTGTGGATGGCCTTTCTATAGCCACCTGCTTCTTCTATGAGTAATTTTTGAACATTAACATTACAAATTAATCCTACCTGAAACAGATAGCTTTTCATACATGAGAAAATAATTTTTGTGGAAACTTAATTTAAATTTCAAATTAGGATGCAGATTTTTTCTGGCATGTAATTTTTCATCCTCCTATTGCTTTGAAAAGAGTATTATAAATCACCTAAAACTGTGGGGTGGATGCTTAGCCTTATTTAGTGATATAATAATGATTGACCATTTTTTAGCAATTTTATTGCAGCTCAAAGTTCCAATACCAGGCAACATGCCACTGAATCTGCAAATCCACAGGCCTCTCCAACTGGAATCATCCATCACTTGCAGGAATTTTAGAGACCTGGACATATCCTCAAATGCATATGCAGAGGCTTCATAGAATGTATGTATCCACCTCAGCACAAACTTAAAAAATTTTAAATATAGCTATTTATTAGTTGATGGTAATAAATCCTGACACCACTGGTCCATCATATGCCCACATTTATGAATCAGAAAATTCATAATCAGGGCTATATATATCTTTTTTTTTAAGATTTTATTTATTTGACAGAGAGAGAGTGCACAAGCAAAGGGAGCGGGAGAAGCAGGCTTCCCAGGGAGCAGAGAGCCCGATGTGGGACTCAATTCCAGGACCCTGGGATCATGACCTGAGCCGAAGGCAGATGCTTAACCGACTGAGCCACCCAAGCATCCCAATCAGGGCCATATCTAATAAGAAAGATAGTGCATACCAATAACAAATTTCATTACTATAGAGAAACAATCAAGTCATAAGGATGTTAGATCAGTGAGGACATTCAGTTGCAAGGGAAAGAACCCTAAGTCAATCTAGCTTCAGGAAAAAACATTAGGGAAATGTATTGGTTCCCAGAACTGAAAAGTCTGTGTGAGTTCTAGCTTCAGGCACCTCTGGAGCCAGGTGCTCCACACCGTCATCAGAAATCTGTCTTGTTCCCTGTCTCGGCTTCACTGTCCTTTACACTGACTTTACTGTCAGGCTGCCTTCCTTAGTGGAGCACCTCCCACACTGGACATGTATCCTCCAAGCTTCAGCTCTTACCGAATGAAGAATTCTATTTTCCAGTATTTCCAACTCATGTCCTGTACTTGAGTTTCATTGGCATGTCTTGGGTCACTTATTCTTTCTGGAATCAATCACCAAAGCCAGTGGGATATAATATTCTGAGAATTAGAGAGTGGTGAAAAGTCCACTGACCCATATAGACTAAAAGAAGGGGAAGGATGGTCCCCGAGAGAAATTGGGATTCTCTGACAGAAGAAAGGAAAAGCAATGCTGGGCAAGCACAAACAGCAGATGTCTAGACATATGCTTTCCAGGAACTGGATCCTCTCTCTGACACATCCTGGTGAGTAACCCAGAACTAACGTATTGTGCAACGCAGGGGACACCGTTTACGCTGTATGCACGTAGATGAAATGCGCAGCACAGCGGCACTTGGGTATCCCCCTCGCTCTGGGACAGGGAGGCTGGATCAACCCCAGACGTCAGCCTGGGAAACAACTTTTCAGAGGCCAGTTCTATCCCGGTGGGTTTGTTAAACAATCTACCATGACAAGTCCACTTGTGTAATTCCATTATCTGCTTAAGTCTCACACGTCACCTTCCTCGAGCCAGAGCTGACAAATGTGGCTGGATTACTGTGCACTCACGATGCAACCACATTTCATACTCAGGGACACTTGGCACCAGAGTATGAATTAACTTGGTTTCGAGGAGGATATTATAGATGGGGTTTCTCCATGTGGAGGAGCATGATTTAAAGCAGTGAAGCAGGCCTCAAGGTCTTTGCAAGCTGATCACACACGTGACTACAAACCCTTCAAACAATAACTGGTCTTTTTGGACACGCAGCACAACATCATGGCGACTAGTGTATTTTTTCTTTTCTCTCTTAAAAATTGCTCAATGAACCTTTTTCAGTTTCCTATTCATAACTATTTGCATGCTTTGGTGTTATTCCCCACGAAGGCTTTTGCTTTCTGAAACTTCAGAATTTGCTGTTCAGGGCCACTGCTATTCAATTTCAGTTCCTATCTCACCTGCTGCAACATTATGAAATCTGATCAGTACTGGTTTACTTCATTACGAACAGCAGAGCTGTTCAGCTCTCACGGTATCTGGATGATCGGGAGACTTACTGAAGTCAGAAACAAGTCTCTCCACAAGAGTCACAATGGAAGCCCACAGGATTTTGGAGCAAGGCCATGACACCCTTCAGAAAGATTACTGTTTTCCCTTTGAGAAACAACTTCCATTTGCTCTGTACGTTGGAGACAATGGGACACCATGTATGATCTGATCCACCTACTCAAAGTTGACCATTTCCAGTAGAACTGTATCACTTCTTAGATGGTAGGAGAGCTTGCCATGAAGGCACTTCTAGTTTGTGGGAGCAGATTTTCCCCCACTCTGTGCCTTTAAGCCACCCTCTTCCCATACCATGCTGCTACCAATCTGTCCCTTCGCTCTTGTGGAGAGTTGTTGGCTAATTAACTGAGAATGCTGAACCATAAGCCTGGCTTATAGATGTTGAACAATACTCACTAGCAGCTGCAAGTGTATTTCGACCTTCTCCCTCCCCATAAGGATGACACACATTTTCTTTTAACAGGTGAACCTCCAGCATATCTGACCCAGAAAGTATCGCAACCTGGACAGAACTTCTAATTGCTCACAAGTCTGGTCTATTCCTAATGGCATTAGAAAGCAATTTTGGGGCCCTGCCAGAAAAGTTAGTGAAGTGGCAGATGGACAGAGCACAGGCCAGCTTTTAGTGCTTGGTTCTGCTCTTCGTTAATCAATCAGCAAACTGTCCCAACATAGCACAATGCATACAGTATCTCCTGAGGGCACCGAATTTAACTCGATCCAGCTAAGTAAGGGAGACTCAGCAGTGAGGCTGTGAGCAAACTTTTGTGTCTTACGATCTGAGAATGTTTCAGAAGAATGTTTGGTGTATTGATTTCTTTAGCTCAATAGTTCATAACCTTGGCTGCAAATGAATTCATCGGTGGGGAACAGAGTGGGGAGCTTTAAAAAATACTGGTGCTGGGAGCCTACTCTCAGAGATGCTGATTCAGTAACTTGGACCTCTTTATTAAAAACAAACAAACAAAACACCCCAGGTAACCCTAATGTGTAGTCAATGATATTCTAGCTTCTTCCAGATGTCCCTTAAACCAACAGTCAGTTCTATCTCTTAATTTTCATATAAGAAACCTGAGGTTAGCAAAGTCATATAAATGCCCTGTTTTACTCAATGTCTTGAGTTGAGATTTGGGAATTGAAGTTCATTTTCTCCTGTAAGTTATCCAGTGCTCTTGAAAGCAACCGTCTGGTTCCATAATCCCAGCATTTTTTTCCCTAACACTGTTAAATTGTCCTATGGTGGCTGCTAACCAGTATCCAAAGGCCGCCTTCTCAGGAGCTCATGGAAACTGGTGACTAAAGGCAATGTAGCCTGATAAGCTGTCTGATCACTGAAGCTGCTAGCTTTCCATCCGGAATACAGAGGCGTGTTGCATTACCTTTCATCCCACCCAGATACAACCAGTTCCAGAGATCCCACATTTCCCTGAAGGTCTTTTGCCTACAATCCATTCTCTGGAACCAATCTGGATATTAAAGTTCTTTTGTTTGCAAGCAACAACAACAACACAACAACAACAGAAAATCAATGACCCTAATTAGCTTAAGGAAATAAGAATATATTGGAATGGGTCCTGGGATAGTTCATGGGTACAAATAAACGGAAAGAGCCGAAATTCAGGAAATAGGAAATGTCTGATAACCTCCTCCTTAGAGAGCTACCATGAAAGCTGTCCAGCTCTGGTAACTCTTAGCCTCTGTGTCCCTCCAGTTGTGCTGCAGATTCCCGTGAGAAAATCTGTTGGCTCAGTTCAGCTTTAGGTCTTCCCCTCTTGATCAACTGTGTGAGGGCAGGTCAGGAAGCATAGACGTGACCACAGCGGCAAGGGGGGGAGCTGTAAACCAGGCACCACCCCAATAGAAGTCTACTTCGATGACCCATGTTTGTCAGCTTCTATTTTGCAGTTCATGAACGATAAAGGTAGGGCAAAAAGGCACAAAAGACATTGCTTAATCAAACAATTTTAATCAAGTGAATAGTAAGCAGTGAAAGTGCAATTGCATGAAGAGCCCCATATTTCACATGTTCAAACTGTTTTCCAGTATCTTTACTTGTAAGGTGTTGAAGGTGGGACCCACTCTTGAATCTTCTTTCTAGTGGTAGAATAAGGTACATATTGTTCTGGAGTGCCACTCACATTGAACTTATGATTTATCCAGATGAATTTACGAGCAGTAGGTGGTTTTGTTGTTGGAGGATCATCGGTCATACAGTGAAGCCAACGATGCCTTAAAGAGGAAAAGAAAGACAGTTACAAGAGGCAGCGTAGTGTGGTGGGAGGAGGGCTAAGTGGGCAGCTCTGGGGCTATTCTGTGGCTTGAGCTCAAATCTCCCTCACTTACAAGCTCAACTGCTATGCCTTGGCTTTTTCATCTGAGCATCCTGACTTCTGAAGGATGGCATAAGGATTAAGTGCACCTAGAAAAATTCCTGTGCACACTAGGTACTCAACAATGTTAGCTATTGCTTTTATTGTTACTGTATCTTGAGGACACTAGCAATTTTAAGATATACATTATTTTATGTGTCTCTACAACAAAAATGCTGCCAATTAACTCATGCTACTATTGATTAAAATATATATCCTACTTGTAGATGTAAGAAGATATTTCAGAACTGATGCATACAGTATTGCTGACAGATGCGAGAGGCTGCTCTGGAGTCTCAGTATGCTCAGGCAGCTCTGGTGATGAAGCTCTAGCTTAAAACTCAACAAGGCTCCTGCTAAAAAAGAGGTCTCTGCTAGCATCTTAAATTCAAGCTCATGACCGAATGTTAAAGAACATACAATTTGTTATATTAAGAACATTAAATCACAGCCTAAAGTTCACAAGTATTTCAGTTTTGAGTGTTTTGTAAAAAAAAACAATTTTAAAGGAAGCTGGGTACATGGAGAAGAAAGGGAAGAGGCCAATGATGCTGCTGCTCATGGCAGAGAAAGAAGGCATAAAGTCCACTGGACAAAGAGGAGAACTGAGCAGGAAGCCACGCTGAGTTTACATGGGACAGGAAGGAGAGAGCATTCATTCCAGATCCCCCAAGGCTGGGAGCTCGCTCACAAGACAGGATGATGTCATGGGAAAAGGGCGTGGGGGGAGGGAACAAGCAGAGAAATGTGGCTCCAAGAAAAAAAAGAGGGGGGGGGACTTCCCAGCTATAGAGAAAAGGGCAAATGGAGGAGGTTTCAGTAAAATAACTAAGACTACAGCTAATGAGAAGTTTATGATGCCATTGAAGTTTAAGAATATTTACGAGCAGTAATTGATAGATATAGCTAGGTAATTGGACAAAACCAAGAAGACAGATGATAAATTATTATTACTTGCTATATTTTGTCTAAAGATGTATCATGACCTGCTACCATAATAAAGAATGAAGACATCTGTACACACTGGGCTGGCGTCTCATATCCTCCAGAGGAAATGGGATTAGTGAAAGTGACCTGGACCAATAAACAGCGACTATGAACAGGAACTCTGAACCTCCAAGATGATGGCGGTGAGACAGGCTCCACTAGCCACTCAAAGGAGGGATTAGTTGTCAAAACCAAGGCTGATACTTCTCAAGGGGCTTTATGTAAGCTTAAGGCACAGTAGAAACATTTAACTTTTACCCTGTTGAGGCAGCTTAAGCAACTAATTTATTTGAATAAAATAATAGAAAAATTATTTGAATAATTGCTGTAAAGACTCTTGAAGGTTAAAATGATATTTAAGGAATCAGAGTCTAAATCTTATATACGCCTGTTCAGTTACTTAAGTGAGGGACTGAAGATCTCATGGAGAAACAGAAAATGCTCAAGAAAACTAAAAATAGGGCACCTGGGTGG